ACACGCCCAGCTAGTTTTTGATTTATTGTAGAGATGATGTCTCGCCAAGTTGCCCAGGCGGGTCTCGAACCGCGGGCTCAGGCAATCCACTCACCTCAGCCTCCCAAAGGCGCGGGATTACAGGCTGAGCCACCGAGCCCGGCTTATCTCTCAATTCTTAAACGCCCCCGGGAATTGGGCTCATTCTGCCATCTTTTAGGGGCCCTCCTCATCGTTCATGAAAGCCCAGGTCTTACAAGGAAGAGGAGGTGTGAGGCGTCAGCGGAAGCACAGCAATCTTCTAAATGAGGAAGCACATCATTTAGGGCTTCTTTAGGGACCACGTGATCCCAGGGAGCAAGCACCGAATTGGCCTTCTGACCCCAGACCCGTTCCTCCCAAGGTCCCTTCAACACCCTGGAGGGTCCTGGGTGAGGCAGAGGTCCGTGTCCATCCTGTGTCCTCCCACCTCCATCTTCCTTCTCTCCACGGCCCCCTAGCTGGGCTGGACGCAGTCTTGGTGGGGACTGTGCTGGGGCCACATTCAGCCTGGTCCCTGGGGGAGAGGAATTCCACTTGGGTTACCAAGTGCTGGATTGGAAGGGCCACTGAGCCAGATCAAGCAGCCGGCTTTCAGTTCTCCTGACTCCACCCTGGGGTTTGCAGATAGCGAGGTGGATAGCCAGGTGGAGAGTTTGCAGACAGCTGTGTGTTTCCCAGCTTGAGGGAGATGGGGAATCTCCTTCCCCACAGAGTGGGACATCCCGGCTCCAAAGCCACCTGATTCTTATGCCCGTCTTCTTTTTCAAAGGGCACATCAGGTCACCTGGAGCGCAGGTGGGCTGGCGTGGTCCCAGGGGCGGGGGTGAGCACGGGCTGCAGGGACCGGTAGAAGACCAGGGTGGCCGGCCAGGGATGGTTGGGGCCCGGGGTCTGACGGCACTGGGTCCATCGCAGTGAGGTCGGCTGGCGGCGACGGAGATGCCTTGTGTGTCACAGAAGAGGAGCTGGCGGGTGAGGACGAGGACATGCCAAGCTTCCCATGCACCCCGGAGGGTAAGGGCACCTCTGCTCTGGGCTGAAAGCTGCCTGTCCCCATCCGCAGGCTGGAGAGGGACTTGTCTCTCTATATGGCTTCAAAACCCTGGCTATCCTTTCCTCTGCTGCTTCCTGGAGGGGGAAAGGGCAGAGTTCATGACCCTGGGATAGCCGATACTGATAAAGTCAAAGTTGTTTTTGATTGGGCCCGTGGCTCACACCTGTAATCCCAGCACTTTGGGAGGCCAAGGCGTGAGGATTACTTGCCAGGAGTTTGAGACCGACCTGGGAAACATAGTGAGACACTATCTCTCCAAAAAATTAGCCGAGCATGGTAGCACATGCCTGCAGTCCTAGCTACTTGGGAAGCTGAGACAGAAGAGTTGTCTGAGCCCAGGAGGTCGAGGCTGTAGTGACTCATGACTGCACCACTGCACTCCAGCCTGGGCACCAGAGTGCGATTCTGACTCAAAAACAAACAAAAAACACAAAGTTTTTAGAAACAATTTTAATTATGCTTTAAAATGACAAGATAGGCCGGGCATGGTGGCTCAGCCTATAATCCCAGCACTTTGGGAGGCCAAGGCGAGAGGATCGCCTGAGCCCAGGGGTTCAAGACCTGCCTGGGCAACTTGGCGAGGCTTCGTCTCTACAATAAATCACAAAAACTAGCCACGCGTGTTGGCGTGCATCTGTAGTTCCAACTACTTGGAAGGCTGAGGCAGAAAGATCGCCTGAGCCCAGCAGGTTGAGGCTGCGCTGGCCGTGAGCATGCCACTGCACTCCAGCCTGGGTGGCAAGAGTGAGACTCCCAACTCAAATAAAATAAAATTAAAATAAGGTGAAATGAAATGAAATGACGTAATGACAGGATCTCATTCTGTCACCCAGGCTAGAACTCACTGAAGCTTCAAACCCCTGGGCTCAAGTGATCTTCCTGCCTCAGCCTCCCAAGTATCCGGGACTTCAGGCCAACTAGCACAACTGGCTATTTTCTAAAACTTTTTTGTAGAGATGGAGTCTCGCTCTGTTGCTCGGGCTGGCCTCAAACTCCTGGCCTCAGGAGACCCTCCCACCTCAGCTTCGCAAAGCGCTGGGATTACAGGTAGGAGTCACTGCACCTGGCCTGAAGTCAAAGCTTAACACAAGTGTGTCCAGGGTTCCTCCTGAGACCTGTCAGAGACTTCTGCCATCTCCCCCAGCCAGATACTCTGGGGTCTGTCTTCTAGCTGATCCTGAACTGCTATTTAGCTAAGGATTTTCTCAGTGGCTGTTGCTATAGATTAGAGCGGTTGTTCTCAACACTGGCTGTCTATTGCCCAACTCTCAGAAATTCTGATTTATTTTGGTCTGGAGTGTGAACTGGGCATCACGAATTTTTTTTTTTTTTTTTGTGAGTCAGAGTCTCACTCTGTCACCCAGGCTAGAGTGCCGTGGCAGGCTCACGGCCACCCCAGCATCGACCTGCTGGGCTCAGGCGATCCTTCCGCCGCAGCCTTCTGAGTAGCCGGAACGACGGGCGCACTACCATGCCCGGCTAATTTTTTGATTTATTGTAGAGATGAGATCTCACCAAGTTGCCTGTTCTCAAACCCCTGGGCTCACGCAATCCCCTCACCTTGGCCTCCCAAAATGCTGGGATTACAGGCTTAAGCCACCATGCCCAGCCTAGCATCAGAATTTTTAAATGCCCCGGTACCCATAATGTGCAAGTTATATTGAGTTCGCCTTAGGAATTTCACAGTTCATTCCTGCTGGGTGTTGGCCACCTGCCAGCGTGTCCAGGAATACCTGGCTCCCTCCTTCCTCCTGCCGTAGCCCAGCTGGTGGACTGTTACCATTTGTTTGGTTTCCAGGAGAACTAATGGTTACTGCAAACTTTTAAGACAGGTGACCAACCTTCTGCCTTGCCCAGGACTCAGGGTTTTTCCAGAGTGTGGGATTTTCCTTTAAAAAAAAAAAAAAAAAAAGG